CATGGAAGATATTGAAAAAGTGATATAATTCTTAATTTAATTGAATGGGCTACTTAGGAAAAGCAGTATGTTTCTGGCAGATATCTGGCAGGATTTGTGGCCTCTTTTTCTTTTATGCTGCACTTCCTCACTTGTATGTTGGCATTTGTGTGGGACTCTGCACTGTCTCCGAAACAGGAGAAAAATTAACTTAGCTATGTTTTATTTTTATTAATATTAGCTCATAATTCAGCTTTAAATCACCCTTATTTGGACCACAATGCTTGAATCCAGCAATAATGCAGTTTCTARTCCTGTTGGATTCAAGGCCTGCTGGAGTCTACAGAAAGATGGCTGTATTGAGTGTAATGCTGCCTTCACACCTTCAGTACTGGGTGACCCCTGAGACATGTCACCTGTGTTGCACGGAGTGATAAGCAATTTATCTGGTGCATTTGGGACCCCCAACTTATGATGTGAATCTAAAATTTTACTTCTRTCTCTTCTGAGTTTTGAGTTTGTTTTTAGGTTGCGATCCATGCACCTGAAATTGTAACAAAAATTTATCTGTGGCTCATTACGTGGCATTACTATGCTTTTAGTTTCTATGTGCTGGTTTTTCCTCCTGTGTTTCTAGAGGTAATTGATTAGGATTTCTTTCCCTAATTTCTTTCAGTTTTATGMCTTTTTGAAGGGACTGTTCAGACTTATTCAGGTAGTGCTACACATCTGAGCACATTTATAGTTAGGCGTGATGCTGTTGATGACAGGATCAGTCCCTAGGTTTTGGGTTTTACTTTGGTCTGCATGTGCTTGGATTAGAGGCAGCATTTTGTCTGATAAGATCAMATTTTACATTGTAAATGAGCATACTGCTGATGATTTAAGTATTGTTAATAYGATGACAGAAGTGTCTGCTAATCTGAGTAAAACATCACTTGAGCGGTGGGAGGAACTTGATCCAGTCTCAGGTTCTGTAAGTGTGTCTTTTTGAATGAGCTCAGTTGAAATCTGGAGTGGAATAGCAGATTTTTTTATTGCTATAGTCAAAATGTTAACAGGTCTAGTGATGTTAATCAGGCTCAAAAATGCTAAGATTTGTAGTAACTTTTCAAATTTCTCAGCATTTTTGAAAAATAAGAGAGCAGAGTCCCTGTTCTGAAGAGCTCTTTGCTCATCGCTCCCTGCAACACTGCTGATCCACTCCCAGACTTCCTGTGGAAGCCATGGGGATCTGGGAGTTGCATATCCAAGGCAATGCATGGGAACTCTCCCTGAACGTGTGGGGCACTGCTTTCACATGGCTACAAATTTATGTCAATGCTGTAAATCTGTTTTATTAGCACAGCTGCCATTTCTAACACTTCCACTTTTGATTCATGCTGGCGAGAAAGCTTGGCGGCAAGTGTGACAGCTGCAGTAGCTTCTTGCCTGAACAYTGTACCTCTAAGAGTCTCCAAGCTTTTCATCCAGGACTCTCTTCTCCCTCTTTTGGAACTATTCAGACGGTTGGTCCAAGCCTTACCTATCCTTCATACAGCTTTGTAGGAATGTAAAAGTRATCCCAGGAAAACTCCTGATGTAAGGGTCTAGCAGCAGTTGTGGAATAGTTATGCTTTTTCTTGCCTTGGCTTCTGTGCCCTTCCTTGCCTTGCTGTTGGGGTACATTTGTGATAGGTGAGTGGTCATCTCCAAGGASACCTGAGCTTTCACATTTTTGTTGCCAGTAGATCTGGTTGCCCTGGAGGTGAAGGAGATCCAGAGTGTGTGAGCCACCTTTCTGTATAGGTCCTATGAAGTGAAAAGATGAAGAAATGGATCTTTGCTGTTCTGTAGGTTAAGCTGTTTTTCTGGTATCAGATATTGGGAATTGTTTCTACACCTAGTAAACAAAACTAGTTGAGTACTTGAAATTTAGATCAGGGGAAATAATAATTAAAACCATCCTTCTGTCAGTACAGTGTATGTAATTTAAGGAAATGGCTTAACTGTGTGAATATTGGGAATATTTAGTGTAACCCAGCTAACACAGTTGCAGATTAGCCATCTATTTTCTGCCTTTGGCTTAGTCTGAAATTAGCCTTTTACATGGGCTCTGCCCACTTTTAACTGGTAAAGTTCAAATGTGACGATGTCTCCTTGGCTGGAGTGACATTTTTAGTGGAGCTTGACTATAAAGTTACAGCAATATATGTACTTGCATGTGCTGTTTTCCTTAGGAAAAAAAGATTCAAACTGCAGTGGTTCCCAAGTGCATTTTTTAATGCCTGTGCAGGTGAGGTATTTTATAGAGGAAGCAGCTCCTAGTGACAGAACTCCAGGGAGGTATGTGTATGCACCCAGCAAGCAGATCTGATGTGAACAGCACAGCTGAGAGCAGGGATTGACTGTGCCACCAGTGCTGTCACCTCAGGAAAACGGGTCTCGAATTGAGTCACAACTCTCARCATTCCTTGCTGTTTTACAAATAGCTACTCTTGCGACTACTTCCCAGCAGATCTGCCAAGGAAAATCATGTAAGTTGTCCTTTACCTCATCTGACTGACAGAAAAAGCAGAGAGAAGCAGTKTGCACAGTTGGGATCTTTATAAAGAATGGTCTAACAAGGCTCCATATGAACACAGTTTTGCCATTCAGTCTTAATTTTGTTAAAAAGATTAAAATTTCAGAGTTCTAGATATTTTAGGATTCCTCTCTGGTTTTCCTTGTATATTTTGTATTTATTGCTGTTGCATCTTTCCTTTTTTCCCCCTCAAATGACCCTTACTGGTTAGAGTAAACCCATTTTGATGAAGACTCAAACTRTGCAAACTGTAGTGATGATGGTTGTTTTCAGTTACACCATGAAGGCGTGTGGTGGATGAGGCAGGCAAAAGATGGGTGTGTTCTCACAGTTTAGGCAGTTTTGTGTTGCTTCTGGAGCTTGAGTCTCATCCTGCCTCTGCCATAAAACTTCCTCTTGGTCAGGCCATGTGTGCATGTGCACAGGCTCCCCAAGGGATCTCCCTACTGAAGTGGAAACAGGGACCACAGGCGGGGAGTGTTTCCCAAGTGCTGTGCRGTTGCAGAGGACCTCTACTCCTTGGTATATTGTGCTGGGAAAGCTCAAGCCAGGTTCTCGGTGCACTCAACCTCCCAGCTTGGTTCTCTACATGTAATACAGCAAGAGGATTCTCACAGAGACTATAGAGTTAGCTGCTAAAACGAAAACTCCTCGTGCTTGGATGTAAGCTGTGTGTACATTGTGAAAAAAAAACAGATACAAAGTTTTAAAGGTTTGTTAAGGCTTAGCTGAAGCTTTTGTTTTTTAAACTCTTGACTAGCCAATCAATGAGTAAGTGGGGTTGGGGGGCCTGGCAGGAAGCAGAGTATGACTTTATGGCTGTGATTTTATGTGCCAAGATAAACTCATTCAGAGTTTCAAAAGTAACTGYGCTTCTCTTGTTTTGAGGTGKTGTTAACTCTTACGAGTCCTGGGACAGAATGCTTCAGATAATCAAATCTAGACACTTTATGCTTTTAAAGAGYGTTTAGGAGTCCTCAAATGACTTTGTAAAAATCACTTTTCCTAGYGAWGCAGTTGGTCTGCATATTTACATTTTAGTAAGTTAGTTGAGATACAGAAACGTTAAAAGTGAGGTGAATGGGAACTAATGTTGAGTATTACACTCAAAAATGGGGAGGGAGAAGCCTGGAAAATATTGGTTGGAAAAATTAGAATTAAAATGTAACCTTGTTCTCTGTTACTGGAATTAAGTGGTGCTTGGTAAGTTTTCCTTACTGCATAAAAGTTGTAATGTTCTGTTTTTCAGTCAGGCTAGACAGGTTACTGATGCAGAGCAGTTCCACAGTGACACRTCTTTGTCACTGAGCTGTTCTGACTGATTCACTTCCCTGAGCAGGGCCTGACCATTCAGACCTTCTCAGCAGTTCAGAGAAATACTTGAGCTATTCCAGAACCAGGACCTCTAGCTACCATTTGTTCTGATTCCAGTGGAGAAAGCCTACTCTTAAGAGAAGCAGCTGCATCTTCAGAGGCACCCATAGCACTGTATCACAATTTGTCGCAAAATGATGGGTTTGCAGGCAGATGTTTTTCCTAGCTGTGCCTGATTTAATTCTTTTCTCCATTATGTGTGTTTGATGTATTCAAYAGGAGCCCAGTATTACACTCAGAAACAATGCTCTCGGGTGAAGAGAGAGAACAGTAAGCTACTGCAAATGTAGTTGCAGTTTTAGCCAGAATGTAGTCATCATGACTTGTTAATGAYACTCCAGGAGCTTTTAATAGAATTTTTAGGTTATGTACCTTATTCATACACTGGACTAAAATGACTTCTTTGAAACAGGTGATAAAATAGCAGTTATGTAGCAGTTTCTGAAAATACATTTAGAAAAAGAAGTTGCTGGGGGAAAAAAATCTGTTTATCTTCCCGTGAGTAAGTAACTTTCTGTGGACCAGGAATAGATTTAAAAATAAAAAAGAAACTTTTACCTTAGTGGGTAACTTACTCTGTGCTAACTCACTCCTTGCAACTTGTACTGACAAAAATCAGAGAGCATGATAAGGTGAAGAGAGAAATTCTGTGAATCTTAGTTTATCATTTWGCTGTAGGTCCCTGTGGCCTCAGCTAGAGGTCATTCCCCTTTCATATGAATACCAAATATAAAAAAATACTGTAAACAGTACTACATCTCAATAAACGCATTCCYATACAAATATGTAAACACCTCTTTCTGATGGGGTGGAACATAATATTAAATGTACCTGCCATGTATGTTAAAATCATGCCAAGAGAACAAATARTCCTGCAGTTTCCAAACTTGGAACAGTGTTGCAGGTCTCCAAGAGTGAGCTGGTGAAAATGAGGGAAAACAGCAATCAGAAATACACAAAGTAGCAAATTATTCAGCGTCTTTTTAACCATCAGGGAAGAAGGCAGTAGAGTCCTTCAACAAAGACAGTCAACACAGATAGGATTCATAGGTTGAGACCTCTCTAACATTACTAGTACAGTGGTTGGGAATAATGTTCACAGACTGATTTTTTTTGTGTGTTTTATTTGAGTAGAATAAGATTTAGAGATCTATCGAGACACAATTTCATGATTCTCCAGAAACATATGAAGAGCATTTCCCAGGCCTTGAGGTCTTTATTGCTTTGTTAATTTCCTTCTTCCTGAGTTTCTTCTGCCATCAGAAAACTACCCTTGTAAGTTCAAACAGAACCTGCRGAACAGCAAACACATTTGATATGAACTTTATTTAAAAATCCTTAAACCAGTTTACACTACAAATCAGATAATCTGAAAAGTAACTCTAGTGACATTGCAAAAAACATCAAAAATTTCTAAGCTGCAATTTGAAAGTTGCAAAGAATGAATACTAATCCCTATGTAAAAATTAATAAAATAATCTTAAGTATCAAAATTCAGATATAGAAATTGSACTTTTTATTATGTTCTTAATATTGGCAAGAAGCCCCACTAACCTCTATGGTGATGAGTATTACTATCATCCACTCAAGGCGCAGAGCATGCTTTTCATTCAGGTGATTGCGCATTAGGTCTGTCAGCTCCATGCAGTGCTGGAGCTTTTCATTCATTACCTGCAAGCAATTAGAAACATGGCAAATCTGGACTCCAGAAATGGAATCAGATCACTAAAAGGGAAACACACTCCACAGAACTAAAAGGGGCTTAACACCTCTGCAAAATAGAATAGGAAATTCTGCAAGGCAACATGCAGAAGCAACAGAAGCTTCCCTATAAATGAGCCTGTTATTTCAGTAGGTTCCCAAAAGTAATATAAATTTAGATATACATCTACAGGCATTGAAGTGCTCGTGAAGTACCCATGAAAACAGGTACAAGTGAAAGAAGATGCAGCTTTCTGGAATGCCTTAGAATTAAATATTTATGACTGCTGTACCACCAGGAGAGGTAGTTTTGTGCTTCTTATTCTGGTTCAGCAGTAAACATGTCACCTTTCAAGAACTGATGTGAATGATCATCTCAGTAAGAAGAATCCTTCACTTCTCAGTTCTTCTATTTGAAGCCTAACTTAGTGGCTCAGGAAATAGGCAATCCATTCACGTGAGGCAGGTTAACCTAAACCCGGTAAAGGTGCGACTGGGTTAAGACCACATGGAAAAGGGGAGAATGTGTAAGATCTTGTTCTTTATTCAGTTTCTGCAATTAAAGCACATTCACAGCGCAATCTGTGACCCTGCTGAGCCAAGGACAACTGAACTGAGTATGGAAAATTCTCACAACAATAAGACACTCACCTTAACTCTGCGATTAATGTTGAGAAACTGGCAAGTCTTGTCATAGAGCTCTTCCAGTTTTTCTCTGTCCCAGTAGAAGTCAGGTGTTATTAGTAGATCTGAGCTCAGATTTATACGGTGCCTAAAAATAATGGGTACTACTGTAGTTCAGGCTTCCTCTTGGTGAATAGAGGAGCAAATATTCACATGGCAGTTAAATAAGAAAATTTTCCTGTAATTCTACATGAAGTATGAGAAGAATCTCCTTTCATAGTAAAAATATAATTGGAGTGATTGTTTAAAACTGGTCATATCTCCTGAAACTTTTCTGGAAATACTTCACTGTAGAACTGTTGAGCATAAATGACTTTTCCCTTACAGCAACACTGTTGCCTTCCTTAATTTTTGATACCACCGGGGAAGTCCCTGACTATTCTGGCAGCTCACTGAAGCAGTACACCATATAATGATACAGAACCCCTAAATGCAACTGGTACTGCAAAGCTGCATGTGTGAGCACAGCACACTCCTCAGAATCAAGCTATGGTCTAAGCATTTTAAAGGCTAAAATCTGCCTTCAATGTATTGCTAACATAAACCTGTGGATACTTGGAACATCATTGCTGATTACTGATAAGTCCTTCAAATAAGGATCTAAACCCCAGCATTTGAAATAGGAATTGTTTTTTYATTTTACCTCAGAGATTTTGTTGAAGTTTTTTCCCTTTTCTTTTTTTTTGAAGTGTGTATAATGGTCTACATTGTCAATGGCCAAATTTCACTTGAGGGAGGTAAAAACAYTAAATAATTTAGCAGTGGTTTCGGAGTAAGTCAAGGGAAGAACAGAWCTGACAGATTTTTACCAACTCTAGGCTGTAGTTAACAGTTCTACCCACACACCTTTCCCCTGGTATCCTTTACATGCTATAGTATCTACTGTAATTACCAGTTAACATACATGTGTTGCTGGACTCAGGAAGGGAAAAGGGTGTGGAATTTGGTCATTTATCAAATACTGCCTGCCTAATGCCTCTAATTGAAATGCCAATGTGAGTGGTAAGCCAGTGGGTCCCCTGACTAATGTAAATAGCACACAGACTCCAGTCAAAAGAAGGCTGAAAGAATTTTCCCACCCCCTGTCTCACCCTATTTAGTGTGTATTCTGCTCTTTGTATCATGCACAACATTAATTTTTAAGTTCTGTGTAATAYGATATCTTGGGTGTAATGAAAAGTTACCTTAGTGCAAAGAGTTCTCCAATTTTCTGCATCACATCTGCATGAGAGAGTTTTATCTTCCTTCGTGACTTTAGAATCTGAAAAGAAGTTCTTCACTGCTTGATCAAGTAACATGTACTGGTAGTTAAGATAGTCTAGAGTTTTACATTCTGAAGTAGTTAAAATCTACATGCATACTGTACTTACTAAYATTGTGGTTTTGTTTGCTTAGTGCTTGCTTCTGTAGTTTTCTAAGAATATAATCATGCAACTAGTTCATCCTAGTTTTTCAGTAAATCACTGAGAATGTGATCAGTGTATCTACAGAAAATACCAGGGCATTTTCTATAAATGTTTTCCTGAACAAGAGAGCATTTATTTTTCCTTCTATTTTTGAAGTAAYGACAGTACTCTTTTACCTTGCCACTAACTTAGCCTTTTTATAAACTTTCTCCTTACAGCAATCAATGTATTACCATTTATTTTCTTCATATAAAAGTAATAAACCAAATGTCTTCCCTTTGGAACCCTATGAATCTCATTTTTATATGTGACATCATAGGGTGTTTGTTCTGTAATTAAGTCTCATGAAAAACTTTAAAATTCACTCAAACTCTTCATAATATTMAAGTCAAAGCACATTATTTTTAGCCCAAGTTACAACACATGGTATTTGGGCAAGGTTTTTAAATGCCTCTTGTCTCACTACACATACATTTCACCAGTGGCTGGTGWCAGTGGCACAACATGGGAAACATTATGACAATGCAGAACCCCACTCCCAGCCCTTTAAAGGCTGATGACTTCTTGTCTGACCACTTTACRGATATTCTGAGCTTCTCTACATTGATGGATTTTACCATCAAATCTGCTGAACATTCAATTACTTTTTCCCTATCCTCAGCAACATCTGGAGTGATCTTTTACAAAACACAGGAGAAAAGGAGGGGGGAGAGTTACAAACAGAACTCACCTCAGGAATTGACTGGATAGATTCCACAAAGTTATCCAGTAATGATTCCCAAATAGCCAGCTTTACTGCAACAGAGATGACAAAGAAGAAGACTGTGAGAGGTACAAATRCTTTCAAGTAATTGTAACTTTAAGTGCCAACAGGCTCCTTCAGAACATGTCGATGCTTACAGACATTACTTGCACAAGTTACAGTTCCTATTATACAATCACAGTTCATGTATCAATGGACAAATCTGGGCTGGGTACTAACACAGCTCTGCACACAGAACCAACTTCACCTTGAGCACACCTTTCTTCTCCAAATGATCAGTTCATACCCTGGAGAGGTTTTTTTTGCTTCAGCTCAGAAGTTGTGTGTTCAAGTGCTCTACTGTATATGTAAGCCCTCTGCAAATTACATTCCAAGGAGGCTGGAGATAATGAGCTATGCTGGCGTCTGGTTGACTTCATGTGGTACCTCAAAAACCTCTACTGCATTTCTATGGTCCGGCACAGCTCGAATTCTCCATTTTTGCAGTACTGATGCACCGTGCTCCCGAGTGTTAGRTTGTATAGACACACCCACCACCTGTTCTGTTGAGCAATCTCCCATCTTGTTTTTAGGTGTTACTGAAGGAATCAATTTCTCTTCTATGTAAGCTTGAGTTCAACAYTGGCATTGGCAACATAAATTCTACTATGCCTCAGCTGCAACCTGGAAAGATGTTTCTACAGGATGATAATGTGACTCAGGCCTTGTTCTTTAGTCCATAGATACCCAAACAAGAATGAAGTACCAACAGATCAAAAAATAACCCTATTCAAACAGAAAAAAATAATCAGGGAAGATTTAATTGTCAAAATGAATTCTTTTGTGGTAGTAATCAATAGTATCATCTGGTTAGGACACTGACAGTAAACCTAATGCTGAGCATTTTGCACACTCATCTTTTGAATACAGAGGCCTAATGCAAGTCACTGACTTAAAAGACTTTAAATTTACCCCCTGAAAAAAAAAAGCCAGAAAGCATTTCATCTGTCACCCGGACAGAGGCTGGTTTCTGCTGTGTCATAAATTTGACTAGGGACCATACATTCATCGTTTATTTTTACTGAACATTATCTCTTGGGAATAAATCCCTTGCTCCCTTTTAGGTGGCACTACTCTTCCATACAGTGGCTTTATGAATAGGAAAACTATAGAGAATCATACGCTTTTTTCTCAACAGCTCTTCCTTCAACAGTCAGGAATGATTTAGTTACAATTTACATTTTGATCAGATGGTGTGACACTTCAGAAACGTACATTCTATTTCTGTCCTATGTAAAGGTGCACTTCCCCAAAATGCTACTGGAATCCTGGAATTCACCTAAAAGGCAGTAGAGGCAGACACAGCAGCCTTCCCTAAAAGGCCTTTCCAAGGACAGCCTTACTGCTGCTAGTTCCTAACTCCCACTTCTTACATTATTCAAGGTCTGAAGCAGCAGACAAGTGTTATTTGCTTGAGCAGCAGCACGACTGCTGAGCCTGACTTCTTCCCCCTATCTGCTACCATGGCTAATAAGCCTGGAAAATATTATATATTACTCTGGTCCACCCATGTGTTACTGATACACCTCCCCAGCTGGGAATAGCTGCTCTGTATAAATTCTTTAGCTGGAATGTAGCTTTTTCTTTCAAAGGAAATTATGTCAGTATGAATTACCAAAGATTACTGAGAGGTTTCTAATACTGAACTCTACACTCATTGTTATCCTAGGATAGTTCTCAAGGGTAGGGAACAGGATGCTCAGTAGAATGTGTATCTTTTGCAAAGCATGTTTGATAATGTGCTTTGTTCAGCTTTAAAATTATTTACATTGAGTAAGGCAATTCCAATTACAGAAAACATGGTAAAAGCATTCAAAAAAAAAATCCTCTGGCTGAAGCACAATCACTCTCACACAGTTTGTCTAAACCAGATACCAAGTCTTCTCCAGCCTGTCACTGTACAAGTCCCACTTATAATGACATTTCACAAAATCCATAGCATAGACTGGCAGTATGAACAATATTAACTTACCAGAAAGACAAAGAGCATTTGAAAAGGCAAATTTCTGCAGAACAACTTCATCACTATCCAGCTCAGAATTTAACAAGATTTGTCCTTTATGGAGCTTTGACTGACCTCTGTTAAGACAAGATTGAAGCATCTTCATTGACTAAACCACCAGCATAGGACCATTTAAAGAAAAATCAACAATGCAAGAAAGGCTGATTGTTTATTTAGATAAGGCATGCCATAAGGCATATCTGTATGGGCATCATCCCTATTCTTGTATTTTACCTCACATTCAACCTGACAATAATCACAACAAATCACTGAAAATTATTTCCTCAATCTAAGACTAATATTAATGAACAAATTTTCTAGGTGTAAATGCAAGTGCAGCAAACTGTGATGGCAACTACAGCATTACTGCATACACACAGATAATTCAGCGTAAGCAGGATGCTGGCCTCTCTCCTGCTTTCTAACTCCTGTTATCTGTTTTCATTGTCACTCTTATCACCTTTACTCCCTCCCCACTACGATGTTACTTTCCCTAAAATCTCTATTGCATAGAGGGCAAGAAGCAAAGAAAAGAGGACAAAAGACTCGTTCAATTTTTCAKGTCAATCTCACTATGAAACATGCATAAAAGCATAATGGAATATGTCAAGAAATCACAAACTACACAACGGAATAATGCCTTCAGTTTTCAAATGCTCAGAAAAAAAACCAAAACCCTGTCTCCTAATCAGGTTACTTTAAATAAGATCAACCTCATTAGTTCAGTTCCTAGCATTAACAGTGTCCTGTCTAGGGGTTGCTTTTTGGTGCTGTTGGAAAATTACAGCTAATTTATAAGACCATTTTCATTGTGAAATATTTCTGTAGAAATAATTTACTGTCAATGAAAGAGCATTATTTAACAAGGAAGGATAACTTGCCAGGTTTATCATTACACAATATTCAAGTTGTAATTTTCCTAGGAATGTGTGGAATATGTGCAAAATTACATCTTTGTATATGAACCCCAAGGATACAGAGACAAAGCTTATAGAGAGCATGCTGTTTTAAAATCAGACTTGTCTCAATAACTTGTATTAGTTTTTTTGCTGTACATAGTTTCTGTTTGGGATTGCTGAAGAACACAGAGAGTTGTGTGGCCAGGGAGTATCYTATTTACCAGAGCTATTGTATAAGCAAATCACAAAGGCAGGACAGCAATATTTGTCAACTCAGATTTCCTGTTTTCTTTCCTTTATTTTACTSATTTGGAAAAAAAGTAAGGACAAGTATATTTTCACTAGCTGTTTTTGCTTGAATTTGGTTTAGGTGTCTATTAGCATATATACAGGATTCCTGAAGATACTTACTCTCCTATTCTATAGTTCAGCTCTTCATTCTCCCAATGGACCAGTGCAACTTCGTATGGCTGGATTTCATGCTGCTCTAGGACTCGCATGATATTCTTCATCTAAGAAGACAATTGCAGGAAGAGTTACCATGCAGTAAATTATCTCTGCAAAGAATGCATACAGCAGGCTGATGAATGCAACCTTCATGCTGAAGTTATTTACATAGCAATGAAGAGGTGTGCTAAATAATGGAGTTATTATTAATATAGTTTACTTCTGAAACTACTTGCAGCTTCAGAAGAATTTGCRGCTATGAACAACTGCAAAGAATCTGGGAAGACTGAAATGTCATTTAATATCCTCACACAGGAAACAGTAAGGATTAACCACAGCAGCAGTAAGGACAATGTGGATGCATTCAGTATAACAATGAGCTGTGTAAGATTTTGGCAGTATGGGAATGAATCGTTAGGATAAGTACATTAGTGGTTGTTTCTGATAAAGTTACTAGTTTGGTGCTAAATCAATACTTTGGTTTCTGATTGTTGCTGAAATCAGTTGTCTTGTTTATATATCTATATCTAATATAACAGAGGTCAGTTATATTGGAGAAACCTTTCACCACTATAAAAATCTGGAAAAATTGCTTCAGCTGCCACATTCATCCCTGTAAATACTAAAACCTACAATTTTACTTGCAGAAGTAATCTCACTGCTCTTCTATTCTCCCGCATACTAAAACCTGACGCAGGAAGAAAGAGCCCTTTTCTCTGACAAAACTTTCTCCTCTGACACCTGACTTAGGATTTCTCATCCTTGTTCCTTTTTATATGCTACAAAAAATCATCTCTAATTAGAACAATTCTGAACTAAAAAAAGCACTCATCTACAAATTTTTAAAAGGCATTTAGCTACACAACAGCCAATAAAAAAACAAACCACAAAACCACAATATATTTTTGATGCCTAAATTCTTTAGAGRTCAATCTTCTACTTAGTCATACTTAAAAAGCACTCTCTTTTTAAAATAAAAGATCACGTTAATCTTTGAACACAAAATTGTACACTATAAATTTTCCATAAAGCATATTCTCCAGGTTAAGTACTCTAAAAAATCTGTTGGATAACCTACAAGGATTTTCTTTGCTGTGCTAGCTTTCTTCACCATTTTYAAGAATTTTGGTGATATTATCTATCYATGTAACGAAGTAATATTTTTCACTGAAAAAACCCCATCAACTCTACAGTTGCAACTGTTCCTTTCATAATCCTGAATTCAATATAAGCATGATTAATACTGAATTAATATAATTTATATAATTCMAATCTTGTGATAAAAAAGGGCATGAAAACTTAAGAAGTGCCTGCCCTTAGGCCAGTCACCTCAGCCAATCAGYATTGCCCAGCGACAGTTCAGCAATGCAAACCCTATATTGCTTCTAGGCCCAGCCTAATTTTATAGAAGGAACTGRTTGTGACACAGTAAAATTAATTAGAAGAGATGTTCTGGAGTCACTAGCTGCAAACTCTTGCTATTGTGGGCATTTACGTCACACAATTTCCTTTTAAAAAACCTCAAAGGTGGTTTTTCTTTTTGCCCTTGCTATTTTGGTAGGGAAGATGCTGTACAATGTTCCTACTCAGGTATTTGGAACTGGTATTTTGTATTTTAAATTCTTTTTGTGATCAGTCTGTATTTGTTACTTCTACCAAGTGCCTRTTAATTTCAAATAGCTTTTTTCTTCTACTAGTCATTCTCGAGTACTTTTGTCCATTCACAGTGATACTGTACATTCTCTTTTACTGAATTACTTTCAGTTTCTGTTCTAAAGACCAGTTTGGGATTTTTCTCCTTTCATTTCAGTTCATTAAAGCATGTGCATAAAAATACTTCCTCTGTTTAAACAAGCCATTTGGCAGTTAAAGCTCTGACTGACTTCAGTAAGCACAAAGAAGCAGTTTCTTACTCTTTTATAAATAAAACTACAAGGGACCAACTATGGTTACTAGTATTGACCATAARAACGGTGTATTGAATTTTCAAAGGTGCTTAGGCATGCACAACAAAAGAAGAGTTTTCAGAGTACTCCAGTGGGCTGAGGTGTCCAACTCACAGATCATCAGGAGTTAAGTCAGCTGGTCTTCAGTAATGCTTGTGAATCAGTAGTGTAGTTACAGCCATAATATCCTAAGTGTGTTAGAGGCAAGGTTTGAAGGGAAAACTAGCATCTTTTTGTAGGACACCTGATACACTGACACACCCCAAAATAAGACAGGAAATCAGGAATGTATCTGTTCTGAGACAGAAAAAAGTGAATCCAGAAATTGTTCAGGTCTGGAAACAACTTCTCTGTGTTTTCATTTACCCTAATGAAAATCCTCCTATGAACTTCTGTGCATCTCGGTATCACCTATTTAATACATCGTTTAATTTCACATACTGTGCCTACACAGAAGGTAAATACTTTTTTGTATCTAGAATCCTTTTAACCACAGTAATAAAAATACATTAGAAACATTAAAAAACTATAAATATATTCATTAAAATAGATAAGCCTCTGGTATAACCTTTTTGGTCAGCAAAGATCACCAAAATATTTTATGTCAGCAACGTATTTAATAATGATACCAACCAATAAAAATCTTCCTTCAGGAAAATTGCTGGCTGGTAAAAACACAGAACAGTACAAAAAAGTTGCTTATAATTCTTTTTTCTCTTTCGAAGTTATACAAACATGTCTTTAATCGTTTTGACTTAAAATGGAATAGAATGGAATAGTCCTTCTAACCCATTTTCTATTCTATTCATGCCTTTCAAACAACCATTCACAGGCTGATTTTTTTCAATCTACTTTTTCAGGATGTAGAGCTGCAAGAATGTTCTTTTTGTCAGTCTCACTAGATTAAGGTTTTAGATTTTTGTCTTAAGTAGATGAGTTTCAAAGGGTATCAGCAGCCCACACACTTGAGGGCAGTAGCAGGCAAGAACCTGCACTCATTAGGAGAAGACTCAACTGTTTTTTTTCCTTCATGGAGAGGATCTCTCAAACATAACCCCTAGCATGCTGAAATTTGTGAGACTGACAAAAACACCTGCTTACACAGTTTTAACCAAGAGTTTTTCTTTACTTACACATTTCTCTTCCACATTCCAAAATACAACAGCCCCTTCCCTGTGAATTCAAGGAAAAACTGAGGTGTAATCAGACTGTTTTAAATGTATTTTAATGGAATACTCAAATTGTACAGTGGCAGTTTTTGTCATTGTGAATCAAGAAACACAAAACTATCTTCACAGAAATTACATACTAGTTGCTTTTTAACCACAGTTCAATGAAAAATAATGAGAAGGTTTTTAACCATTTAWATAATTCTGATTATTTTTATAAATCATTCTGACTGGACAGTTATTCCTTGAGTTTCATGAGGTAATATAATGATCTAGCAAGCTGCTCCACTTCCTTCATACCATTACTATTAATCATGTAATGTTTTGAGAAGGATTTATAGCTTACCTGAAGAAAAAAATCATGCCAGGATCATTTTCTTTTGCAGATTTCTCAGTACTGACCACCAAAACATTTGCAGCATCTGGTTTGAAATAAATGAAAAAATTGAACCATTAGTTAAATTCTAAATATGACAGCTAGATAGCTGTAAGCATATAATTCAACAGGTGCACACTAACACATCAGCCACATACTATTTTTCTGATAGAATTGCTTGCCAGAAATCAACTACAATATCAAACTATGCTGCTTCTCTGAACTGTCACACCCTAGGCAGACTGAGCCTCTGCTGGGTACTCTGCTGGAATCTTCAGTTAATAAAATGTAGCAGCTTTGAAGAACGAAAGACTTAGGAGAAAACTGATGCAGACATAGTAAATAACCAGGAACAGAATACAAAAGTGGACATGCAATGTGAGAAAACTATGGAAGTTGTAGAGAAATTACCATTCAAATCTGTTTGCCTGGAAGATCTTTCTATTTTCTATACACTAAGGGACTAATCTGCAGTCAAATTGTGCTGACTTTGCTTTGGCAGTCAGAAACTTGAAAGAGCATACCCCCAAGACAGGAGAGCCTACAYCTGCATTTCCCTGCACATCAGAAGTGTGCTTTTGAAACAAATCTTCCACCCACCCTCCTTTACTACACTTCTGATGTGCCCTGCACAACAGTACATAAAATGTTGGGGGGTTTGCATTAAATTAAACTGAAAGAGAATCTCAAAAAAATGCACCTGTGGTACTCCAACCACTAATGGGGCATTTGTTACAAAGGATTAGACCARAACCAGTCCAAGTAGCATGCCCCAAAACTTATAAAATGTGGTTGTTGGGTTCTCAAAACAGKGTTTAATTTTTCTTCTACAAAGCTTCTCCACTGTGCCACTCACTAATACAGATRAAGTTTTAGAAGCCCTGATGTGGCTGCAAACCAGCATGACTCACTTTGTTGCAGCACCAGTGGAAGCTAGACCAGAAAAGCCCTCTACTTCTATTGCAAAGTGAGACTTCACAAAGATTTTGCAGGCCTTAACAGCTAAGCTTTAAAAACTTAAATGCCTTTGCAGGAAAATCACTACTCAAGCGACAGGGCATCAAATTCTGCTCTGCCTGTGTACAAATTCTACCTTCTGCTTTACTGCTCAAGCCATAGAGGCCAGGTAGACTGAGGCAGCAGAGGGATATAACCAAGTATCAGATACACTTTTGCTAACATCTGAATTAGGACCACACAGTTGGTCTGAATGAGCCCTTAAAGACTTTTCTTCCACTTGCTATTCCAGTTCAGAAACACATCATTGTAAGAATAACTAGGTAAGTTTTAGGTGTGAAGTTTGAGTTCAACATGAAAGTAACATTTGTCTACATTTTCTCAGTTGCATTTTCAAATACCAGCCATATCTTTATTTATCAACTCCAACAGAACATACACAATTGAAGAGAATTTAATTGGAGGTGCAGGATCTGCCTCTAAAATGTTTTTAAAGGGGTCAAAAACAAGAATAATGCTTCAGAAAAACATCACAAAGTAACAAATCCACACAGTACCTACCAATTTAGATTTCTATGTGCTAATATTTCAAAAAATAATTTCCCAATATTCAGTGTTTGACTTGGTAACTAACTGCTGCTACATGCACATGCCAACCATCACAACACTTCAGATCTGCTGGCACAATCCAATATCCTTTCATCATTACTTCCTTCAAACCTTTGATAAACAGTTACTCATTATGAGTCAAAAACACCATGAAGAAATAAAAGGAACTGGCAAAACCRACACTCCCAGGGCAAAATACCATCAACAGCAACTTTTAATTCACTGTCATGCTGGGGGTTGTAGAAAGTTTCTACCCAAAGCTGTGAAACCTTGGGTTAGTTTTAATAAAAAGAAACTACAAAGGAACATGAAGCCTTTATTCTATTGGGTATTGTCTTTCATTTTCATCTTTGTGAACAAGACAATCATTAGTAAAGCTKGTATTTGAAAGACACCCACTGGACTATTATTGCATTTAGATTATTATTTAAGAGGCAGATAGGTTTTTGRTAAGCCCTGCTGAAATGCTCATGAACTGCCGGTCCTTGTCCTAGCTTCATGTAATCTGTTCTTTCAAAGAAAGAAAAGGCATTCTACCACTGACATATGAAAATCACAGCTGTTCCAGAGCATAAGGTTCCATAAGCTATAAAAAGAGCTGTTTGTTTTTCTTTGATAGTATACTGCAGCTATTTCCAAGCCATACTTCCTAGGTCTTCAGAGATACTTTACATGGAAAGCAGAATCAATTATTTTGCTGAAGCCTACCTAAGTGAAGCATTCAACAATTGCTAGGAAATACTTGGACCAATAAAGAAGAATCAACAGTATTCTCTTTACTAGAAGTAAGCATYTATGTGTATATCTTTTTCTTTTCACTTAGTCAACAAGATTCTCTYTTGCATGCCTTCCTCTCCAACCCTGTGATTTACATTAGTAGAAATGTGGATACAGAAAGAAGATGCAACACTTCAAATTACAAAATTGTTTTGACAGTTTAAGTACTGCACTACCTCACTACTGAAGGATTAATTAAAATAAAACATTCAGAATTTTCTCAGTGAATGTTTACAGAAATTCTCTGTAACAGTTAATTTCCAAAGTTATTTCTCATGCATGCGTGTAATTTTCCTATACTTCTAGAGTAGTTGTAATGTTGGAAAAAATTATCAGAGGGTAAGAGCAAGAGCTGCTCATATTGCTATTCTGAAAGATTTTATTGTGGGGATTTTTAGGCGATTGGAATTTTTAAGCAAAGCAATAATTTTATATTTATATATAATATTCCAGGATATGATCAGAATAAGAATACATAAAGTTATAAAAATTCTATCCCTCACCCATATTTTATTTCCCAAGGTATAACATTGCATTTAATATGTTTCAAAAATCTACCTCTAGGCAAACTTGTTATTTCAACACATCCATGTGAAGTCAGGTCATGACACAGATTACCAAGATGATATTCATCTGCTGTTGCAAAGGCTGTGCACTGCATCAGATTCTGTGCCAAAGGAATAAAGATTTGAGTTAGGGCAGGGCTGAAGCAAGATGTTAACAAGACAACTGTTTGCTTCCAAGTTATTAAGATAGTGACAATTTTCTTTTATGCACTGTTCTGTGGTATCATTGCCATGCTGTCCACCTGGTGTACATATACTAACGAGATTACTTGCTCCTTATTAAGTGGGAAAGCAATCGCACACTGAGAACAAACCAAGCTGCACAAGTTCAGTTGCACTAAAAAACTCTGTGATAGAGCCACAAAGAGAACCCTTCTTCCCTGAATGCCAATCAAATACTTAARCAGTAGAGCTGCACTTGCTGCTCCTCTCCCATCCCATGGCTTGTGACATACTTGGCTGACAACTGAAACCAGAGGCAAGACACCCCTGATAGTAATTTTAACATCCATATTTTAAACATAAATGGAGTTCGATTTACCCCAGTCTGTTTATCAAGCAGAAACTCCAAACACAAACATCATGTTCTGCCATGTCCCAAGCTACTCCCAGGGCTGAACCACTGCAGCATACAAAGTCACCAATCTTTCAGGCCAGCTGCAGGTGCTGCACATCTATAGCTGAGCTGCATCCTGCACTAACAACGTGGCCTAAATGACAACACAACTGAACAGTACATGTCAGCCAGTTTGTCCCAATATCCCATAATCTTAAATAACTAAAATGCCTTATTAAAAAAGTAACTGGAAAAATTATGTTGACTTGCAAGGAAACTTGAGATTTTCTAGATTAATTGAACAAGGCACAATTAACTGATCTGCAAATTCTACTACWCATTTTAAGTGTATTTCTTTGTTCTGACACCATATATGACCTACAGTAATGTTTTTCAGCAAAATGTAGTGGAAAACATCCAGAAAGCAATGTCTCACTGTGGATCAGTCACTTCCCAGATTTYTGTATTGTAACTAATACAAATGGGGATGTAACTAACAACAAACGAACAAAAGAACTGTACTCATCTGCAGGCATTTAGACCCACAATACACTTCAACCTAAAAATCCAAGTTACATTCTTGCAGCACTCATACACTTGCAAACAACAAAGTTTAAGGAGGAGTTCTGCTCCCTGCAGGGGACTTGTCACCAGTCATCAGAATGACTACCTCACATTTGAACTTTTCTTTTTTAATGTCAGCCTTCTGTTATCACATCCAAAGTTTTGCTTACCCATCATCTTAATTCCACAACCACTAGCAGAAAATAAGCTTTAAAATTATAATATTCAGAGGGCAATTTTGTAGGCATGTCCCCACAACTGTGCTAGAAGGCTGAATTAACAGTGCAACCGAACTGTATTTTCAGTTCCCTTGAAGCATCAAGTTTCATTATTACAATTTCAACAATAATAATTTTCAACATTCTCAATCTCTAAATTGCCAGTGCCAATTACACATCTGAATCTGAAGATTCTTCCATAAAGCTCTGGTTATTGTAAGTACACGTGCTCTGTCACGAAACTCTTCTGTCAAGAGTTAAAGGAACAAACTCTCATCTTCTAGTTAGTATATAATCTAAAAATCTCTATCCTGCTCTGTGTTTCCCACAGTTCATTACTTGGGCTATTCTTCATTTCAAGGTAARAGTACTACAGGATTGCCTTTCTCTTACAGCTACAATTTTAGCTTCAATGGCTACATTCACATTTAGTTACAACCAGAAGATTTCCACTAAGCTACATACCTGAAATAGCATTTTGGATATGAGCTTCTTTTGGTTTTTATGTTTTTTATTGGTTACAATGTACTGTTTCACTTACACATTTATGACAATTTCATTTGATAGCAAACATTTTGCTTGGGTATAATTTGAGGTTAAGACACTTAAAAATACATGTTCATGGGTGCTCTGAATGTCTGAATTCTCACAATTGTTGGTGAAGTTACAGCCAAAAAAATCTACTCTAATCAATGACTCAGCTAATCCTAAAATAGATGTGTTAAATAGCTCAGCAAACTTAATGCCATATTTTCTGCTACATCACTTCCACCTGCAAACTTCGAAACACCCAGAATACAGGACCTGTATTGGTGCTAGAATGGAACTCAAGCTACTCACCACCCTCCTGCTTCTGCCTATGGCATTACTGAGATTCTATTCAGAGCATCACACAGAATGGCTGCTCCTAAGGACATTAAGTACCTCAACAACTCATTTTTGGTATCATCATGCCCCCAACATCTGTACAGGCTCATGGAATCACCACTCTCCTTAGTCCTTCCCTTCCACTTTCAACATACTAATATTTTAAAGAATACCTGTAGGAAGAACTTTAGCACTCATAACACCACAGGAATCAGTCTTTATCTCAAGTGTAGTAAATACTGTGTCTTTGACTGCATTTCAAGCTATTTCTACATTAGATGGCTAGCATAAAAAATTAGCTCAGAGGCTTTTCCTGCCATCAGCCCATACTAGGTTAACCTAGTAGTKGTACCACTCACTAATGGACTGACTAAACCAGTTAACTGCTTTCAAGTAACTCTTCCATCTATCCTGAAAAACTGGTTGTACAACAATTTATCACTGTTGGTGCTCAGCACTCTGCCTGTAAAAACACATGAAGACCAGGGCTGCAGAGGATGGGAAAGACCTCATTCACTAAGTCCTCTGCAAAAGGTATAATCTGTCAGGCCYTCCCAGACAGAAAACACCACAGATCCTTAGGATTCTCTATGCGAGAACATCAGGGCTGGGCCTACAACTGCTGTCTCCAGAGGAAGGAGAAGATAGGAAGAAGAAGATGTCCCTAAGCAGTGGTCCTGGCATTAGGGCCTGCAGTACTAGCAGGTTCCTGGTTGCCTCCAAACATGCACAAAAGGCAAGATAAGCTTTTTTGTGACACCAGGATTTAGAAAAAAACTGATGGCATGCTGAAAAAAATACCCTTCAAAGGTTCACCATATGTGCTACTTTCTAATAAAGTAGAAATCTGCTACAAGTAACTTTCCTATGCTATGCAGCTACAAGGACAGGTAAAAAAATGCTGACTCCACAATACTGTCTGCCTGTAGTTAAGATGACAGCTTGTCTGCACCCCTGCAGATTGGATATATCTGACAAAACCACATGGGATTTATTAAAAAATAGAAAATATTTCTGTTTCTGTTTGGTCTTGCCCAGCATTTTCCCATATAAAAACTTTCTCAGAAAGTATATTATTATTTCAGTGTATCAGGCAGTATTTTCTCCATTTCTTCACAATGGAAAAAAGTAAAAATAGCACTGCATGTTACTTGCACATAGATATGAAAATTTCAGACAAAGAAACTGTTTGCATTCTATGCTGTCATTTAAAAGTCTCAAGAATGTTGTCATTTCACCCAAAACCAAAAAGAATCAAACCCTGAATGTAATCTCATGATTAAAGCATKATTAAAAAGGTGGAAACATTCTATTCTTCACTTTCCTCTTCCAAAGCAATGTGAAAATATGAGTGGGAACTAAATTGCCTATAACTGACTCTTTATGTTACCCTAAGGCATATTCCTGCTCATCACACAAAATATTAATCAGAGGTTTAGATACAGAGAAGGCAAACACTAAAACTTTTCTCTGCTAACAATCAGTAGATCATGTAACAGACACATTTTACAACATGGATGATATTTCTGAAACCACRATGCTTGTTTTAGTCTCATCTATCACACCATTTTTACTGACCACACCCCGAGACTCAGTTGTTTTAGCCWGAGAACAGTAACACATCTGACAGCAGGGTTCACCATGGAAATCCTATGTTCAAGTATACCTAAGGCTTGGCTGAGAGCTATCATAAGGAGATATGGTGATAAAAATACACTGTTCTTCCTCATCATATCTCACTGTATCAAAAACAGTGTGTTGTTGCATCTCCTCTGTAGACCTACGAGTCTGATAATCAAAGTGCTATTTCTATACAAGCAATGATSTTTCTCAGGTAACAACACAAGCTACACTTGCACATCATTTCCTATYTGAAACCTAATCTAAATATGAACTTTATACTATTTATTTCACTTTTATTTTCACTTGAGTGAAGCCTTCAAATCATGTAGATTTGAAGAAGCAAGGAAACRCAGCTAAAGTTAAATTATTCTGAAAGCTAGACTTTGCTTCTCAATTGTAAATGTGATTCCAGAGCACTGGTCAAAACTATTTTTAAGGCATTTCACCTTCACACTTTATAATAACCACTCATCTTGCCTCCACTTTTGTTAACACATTGCAAGTAATATTTTACAATATCAGACATGCTATTTTCTATTAAACTTGCTTCTATTTGCAAAGCTCCAACACTAGTGAAAATAATGAAGTCCTTCTCACCAAATAAGTATGTTAATTTCATTAAAATGTTCATCTAACCCCAAATCTGAATGTAAATTAAATTGATGCACTCCCTTAATGTCACATAGACTGTAAATGTTATACTTCACCTTCAYGTCTGAGAGTGGCAGGTTAGTTCTGGATGGTTGCTTGGTCCTCGGTGCCTTTGGCGGCCTCTTAACCTGCTGGTTATTGGGTTTGGGCATGATTTTACCRGTGGATACAACTGCATAAAATCTTGATGACGTGCTCCTAAGCCTTCTGATCCACTCTGCATTGAGCCTGTAGTTTGCCATCATTGTCACACTCAAACGTCTCCAGGATGAGAAAAAACCCTCCCCATTCTGATAATAAACATTTCTTCCCAAAGTGGATAAAAATCCTTGTAGAAACTGCCAATTCTTGACTTGCACACATYGACTTGTCAACCACGGGAATGCAGTTATCAGAGTATGCAAATTCCAAGACTTTGCTGTTCTTTCAACTTCATTATCCAGCTTKAATAGTAGACATCCAGTTTTGTCAAAGCTTTGGCATCGGCATACTGTTGTTAAAGCATGGAAAGATCTTGTCTGAAGGTGCAGAAATTTCAGTCCCATTTCTTCCCTGTGAACTGTATTTAAAACAAACAAAATCATCCATCAAAGAAATAATATTATTTCTCTGTTATCTAGAAGGTGGCCCCTAAAAGATTAGTATGCCAAAGCACATGACATTGGTGGGAGGGAATAAACAGATTTTTTTGATCCTATGGAAACACTCCAAGATCACAACACATTACTGAACTGTGTGCTTGAAACAAGTGGTGAAAAAGTAGAACTGGCTTTGATGTTAATATGCAAGCAGGTACCTTTTCCTTCTGCTGCTCATTCTGTGCAGAAGCCTGCMCTTTTAGTAACCACAGTACTCATGAGCAAGCAAGCACACACRTTAAAGAGGACATCAGACGCTGAATCATTGTGATATATATAATAAAAATAACAATTCGATTACTAGGTGGTTTTGTGGGAACGTCAACTGCAGAACACACACACTGCTTAGCATCAGCTCCAACTGCTGTGCCATGAACAGCCAAGCACAGATACAGACCCAGCCATCTGTCCTGCCAACAGAGCTGAGTTACAGCCTTGCTCCTGCCAGTACACCCAATGCAACAGGGACCACCAGGTCTGCCTGCACACTCACCCGTGCAGCCAGAAACACAACAGTGTCCTMATTCTGGTAGTTCAGAATAAGAGCAACCCTACTATATTTACAGTATTTGTGTGAGCTAATCAAATAAAGAAAAATATTCACAGACAATAGGCCCCATATGTCMGTGGGTGTGTTTCAACTGCTGAGAAAACTCAGTGACAGGGCCCTGCCCTCATCTGATTTTCTCAATCATCAACATTTTCCTTAGGACACAAAAACCATTCTCAGCAAGTTATTAACAAAAAGTCATTAAGCTGCATTGTTCAAAACCATGCCCACTTCAGAATATTTTTCAAAAGCTAAAGGAGGATCTACAATACCACAAATACATGTAACATAACAGTTCAAATAAACATTTATTGAAAGAGCAAATCATGGTKTGTGCTGTGGAACAAGCCCTCCAACCTGATAAGGATACCTAAATGAACTGATATTGGGCACAACTTCATATATTTACATGCTCTTCACTCATGCATTTTTTTTCCCAATTTAGAAGCCTGTTATAGACATACTTACTGGGATAAGCCAGCAACTATTTTCATTTTAAACTTGTTCTGTATTTAAAAAGTAACCCTGTCCAGGAAAGGCATATTTACTTTTTTAAAGACGTGTTACCTCTGGATAAAAAAAAAAAAGAGCTGACAAACACTCAACAACTGAGGCCCAGGAGAGCCGGAGTAGGTGAGGAGTCTCCAGCAGTGTGGGGCAGGTGGTGGAAAGAGACGCAAAATGTTGGAAATGAGACTCAAAAATGTGGAAAAGCCAACAAAGCCTCATCCCAAATCACTAATACCAGGACTGATTTTTCAACTATACAGCTTTACAGCAAATTACAAGGAAAGAGAGATCATACAGACTGCATTCCATCGAGGGGCCTGAGCGTCAGACCTGTGGCACCAGAGGCATCTARCCAGAACGAGCGGAACACCGCAACCCAAGAGAAAAGCGGGATGAAGGGCAACCGTAACAGGGCCGTAGGCGCCACCTCCAAGCAACAGACACGGAACTGGGATTAATTTTCCAACGCCGCTTCAGCACACGGCACACTTTAGCCACGCCTACTGCTGCCTTCTCGGTTGGGAGGCCCGGCTGGGAGGGCCGGCTTGCTGCGGCAGAGCCACCGACATGTACGGATGGGGCGGCCCGCTCCGCCGGCGGGCGGATCGCACCGGCACAGACCGGCCCGCCGGCTCTGCCCAGCCCACGCAGTCCGGATGGCCCCAGACTGCCCGCAGGGTCCGCCAGAAGCGGGTGGCGGGTCACTCCGCCCCTTCCCTGCCCCCACATTCCCGTCTCTTTCTCCAAGGAAAACAGCTGCCGCACCGCCCCCGGGAGCGCCCCTGCGGCAAGCGGGGGCGGGAGGGGATGGAGGGCTCCGCTCCTATTGGCTGCGTGCCGGGGGGGCGGGCACAGCGGGGAACCAAGCGGCCAATGGGGATGCTCGGGCGCCCCGCCCGCGCGCCGAGAGCGAGGCCGCGGGCACCGCCCTCACGCCGCGCGACACACACGGGCGCCCCTTGGCGGGCACGGGCGGCACCTCCGCCAGCGCGCGGGGGACCGCCCCCCCCCAGCCCCGGCCCGCGGCCTCCGCCGCTGCTGCGTCACCCCCCGCGCAGCGGCACCTGAACGCGGGGCGATGGCGGGGGAGCCACCAGGGGCCGTCCCGCTCCCGGCCAGAGGGGCATCCTGGGGTGAGGGGAGGTGCGGGGTGCGAATCACCCCTCACACCCGCAGCCTGGGCTCGTGGTCGCCCCGAAACTGCGCCCTTCCCGCGAGAAACGTCGCGGGGCCCTGTCGCTCACGCCAGGGTTGGAGCTGGCGGAGAGAGCGGGCGAGGCCGCCTCGGTTCGCCCACACCCTTCCCCGGGCTGTGCGGCAGGCCCCGCCGCCCCGGGATTGTCCCAGGAGGAGCCGCGCACCCCTCCTTTGCCCCATCGCGGTCTCCGCCGCAGCTCCGGTGGAGGCGCGGGGCCGCCAAGGGCACCCGCAGCGCCGCCGGCCCGGCCCGGCCCTCCCTCCCCTCCCTTCCCCCGCCCCGCGCGCGCGCCCGCCCCGTCACGTGATGCGGGCGCGGGGCGGCTGAAGCCCCGGCTGCCATCTTGGCTGAGGGCAGGGCATTCCTGGCACGGAGCGGGGGGTTCATGGCG